GGAGGGTCATGGGGGTCATGACCCCCCCCCCCCCCCTGAGCTGGTTCCAGGACTTAGGGGGACCACTAATTGAACATAATGATTTTATTTATATATTTTGTCACCATACAGATTTTATGTAACTACATACCTTCAATATTTAATTAATTTAATATAATATAGTATAATAACTTTGTATGCAAACGTATGCAAACGTTTGGGAACGAACGTATCAAAAATTTGAATTTTACCGCGCCACACTTGCGCGCGTTTGTCGACTACGTAACTACGTAAGCTTCAATATATCATAACATAGTTCTAAGTTAAAAAACTACAATTTCTTTCTACCTATAATGTGTTTATAAGTGTACCCTTATAAGTATTCTTAAAAATTGTTGCTGCACATTCATTAATTACAAGAAATGGTAAGTAATCAGTTTCTCATTATTCCAGTGCGTGTGTTTAAACTTAAATGTTATTGTTGTTAATGTTCATAAAGTTATGAAGTACGGAGGAAGATATGTGGGTACCTACTTACTGAAAGAGTGCTGCGTGACTTATGTACCTACCTATATATTTTTTTGGACGAGGGAGTTTGAAGAGCTTACTGACCTAACGCAAAATTTTAGATAAATTTACACAATGAAATCAAATGTATCGTCGTGACCACACTGATTTTAATGCCCTTTAAAAATAAAATAAGAAAGCAACCAACAGAATGAATATAGCATGCATAAACTTAAAAATAATCTTGGTTAAAGTTTTTAAAAGCATCTAGCGAAAACTTCGATGCAAACTATTGCGCGACACAAAAGCTTGCGCTTCATTAACAGGCATTTCTATGAGGCATGCATTTACAACAAGTAAATAGTAATCTACCTACTTACTACTTTTTACTTTATTTGTATATTACAGATTTTGAAAAACTATAAAATATTAGAGAACCTGAAATTTTTTGCTTGTTTAACACTATACTTACCTAAAGTAAATAGGTATTACCTATTTGATGTAAGGGTCTTTATGGAAAATGCAGTGAACTGTAAAACTACCTATATTATTATGTTTTATGTACTTATAACTCATATGTTTACAAAAGCTTGTTGTCTGATGTGGGGTGTGAAATTTGCATGGTTTTTCTTTGTTTGTGAGGTAATGCGGCTGCGCCACCAGTCTGTACTGTAGCGAATGTGGGGGTTTTATGTATATATATATATATTTAATATGTATTTGCAACAGTCTGTTGTCTGTTGTGGGGTGTGAAATTTTCATGGTGAAATTTGCATAGTTTTGCTTGCAGGGTGATTCTAAGGGAAAAGGAGATGGTAGTGGTGGATTGAAAAGTTCATTAAAAAAAATAGATTCATTTTTCCCAAAGAAACCAAGGCTTGAGATTGCTCACTCGAAAAATTCACCTACAACAACTACAGATGAAAATAATTGTATTGCCGATGCTTCTGCTTCTACAGCTACATTGCCTACATTAACCATAGATGAAGAAAAAACATGCTCTCCTGTTACTAACGATATTCAGCCTACAATATGTACATTGACTTCTGATTCTGATCAGATAAAGACTCCACTTTCTCAACCAAAGTTTGCTTCAGATATTGCTTGTTATATAGGAGAAAATAAAGATGATTCAACTAAAGCTATGTTGCTTGAAAAGCATTGGCAGCCTCCCTCTAATTATACTTTCCCGCATTGTGTTGTTAATAAAAAAGGAAAACAAACAAAAAAAATATGCTCAGAAGTCTCACCTTGACAAGTTTCACTGGCTTGTTTTGTCGCATAAAGACCACTTTAAAGACTATCGCATAAAGACACTGAAAGAGTCTTTACTGCAAGTACTGTGCCTTGTATATCGTAGCTCCTGGAGGTGGTATACAGACAAAAACACCTTTATGTCGACTCGTAAAAGAACCATTAAAAGCTTTCGATAATTTGCTAGGTGAAAATGGTGTTCTGCTAACACACCAGCGAAACAAATACCACGAATTAGCTGTCGAAGCAGGGAAGAACTTTTTATTGAGTTTTCATAAAGCGGAAATTAACATAATGAACCAAGTAAATAGTCAAAGACTGAAACAAATAAATGAAAATAGAGAACGTTTGCGACCAATCGTAAAAACTATAATATTTTGTGGCCATCAAAATATATCGTTACGTGGTCATCGCGACGATGGTAAATTGCTGAACTATGACAGCGAAGTAGCCGATGAAGGGAATTTTAGAGCCCTTTTCAAATTCCGTATTGATTCTGGCGATATTGCATTGCAGCAACATTTAGAATCTTCAAAATCCAACGCCACGTACATCAGCAAGACTATACAAAATGAGTTGATAGATGTTTGCGCAGAAATCATTCAGGAAAAAATTTTACAGAATGTGCGGGAAGCTAAATATTTTTCAATTTTGTTCGATGAAATAACATATATATCACATATCTCACAGCTGAGTCTACGAGTATCATTCCGATATTTGCGTGATGGTATTATTAAGGAACATTTTGTGACTTTTTGTGATACCTACGATGCTCTTAGACATGAAGACAACAATTCAAGTGACATAGAACCTCGATTGACAGGTGTAGCATTGGCGAAAATCGTTGTAAATCTGTGTACCAAATTTAACTTAGATTTATCTTGGTGTGTGGGTATTGGAACTGACAGCTGCTCGGTTATGGCATCAGATACAAAAGGTGCAGTGCAAGAATTGTTGAAAATAGCCATTCATGCTAAACGTTGCCCGTGCAACAACCATGTGCTCAATAACTCGTTGGCAAGACCATGCCAATGAGTTATTGAGCACATTGAGATGCTGTCGCAATACATCTGCACAATGAGAAAAGTTGTGGCATTTGTCAATGCATCCGCTAAAAACATGAAATTTTTAAAATAGAACTCGGAGCTGCCATGCAAGGTATTTGTGAGACACGTTGGGTAGAGAGGCATGATGGGCATCTTCAATTTCAAGGAGACCACTTAGTCAAAATTTGTAGCGCTCTGGAGAAGATTTCTGCTTGGCAAGACAATAAAACTGCCAATGATGCGCATTGCTTGCTGCAAACATTGCGCAGTTCTGACTTTATTATATCCTCCATCTGCTTAAGTGATGTATTAGATGGGTACTTTCCTAAATTATTTTATTTCTTATTGTTTGGCAAATGAACTTATACGAGTATACTAAACCTACTTTAAAATTATGTTGTTGTTTTGTTAATATTTTATGCTACGAGTACATACCGTTTATATTAAGTTATAAATTCTTAGTTTATGCACTACAGTCACAGTCACTTACTTTTTATTTTTCATGTACTACTGTATCTTTAAGCAGAATACTGCAATCGAACTCAATTGATTTAAAAAAAGCTACGATGATACTTTAAGTGTTTTACAAAATAAAAGAGAAAATGTGGACGTAATTTACCGACAGCTTTTTGAAGAGGCTAAAGAAGTAGCTGAGCAGCTAGATGTAGAAATTAAATGCCCCAGAATAGTATCAAAACAAATACATAGGGCCAATAACCAACCTGCTCAATCTGCTGAAGAGTATTTCCGCAGAGCTATATACATCCCTCTTCTAGATTCAATAATAAGTGATCTCCAGGACCGCCTGTCTCCTGATGTACTTAATTTGTTTCAGCTAAGCGTTTTCATGCCAAAAAGTGAATATAGTAATGAAGATATTGAAACTGTGAAACAACTAGTTACCGACTATACATTATTACTAGATAACACTCCAGTTTCTGTCATTGTAAATGAATATCGGCTGTGGATGGTGAAGTGGCAGGCGTGGCAGCGGAACCAGGACATACCGCAGTCGATTTCTGATCTTATTTTAAATTGTGACATCGATATGTATCCTAATATAAGAAAATTTTTATGTATTATGGCTACACTACCTGTCAGTGTAGCGACAGCAGAAAGGTCTTTTTCTACGTTGCGCAGAATTAAATCGTGGACGTACCCATTGACGTAAATGACGTAATAACGCGTTTCGGGAGAAGACGTAAAAGAAAAATTGATTTTGTTATTTAAATATATGTATTTTGTCTGTTTCTATTTTGTTTGCTGGAAACCCTTGTCGTACCACCTCTTCACTTTTGCTGAGTTTTTCGTCATAACCCTCGACATACCTCTAGCTGTTATGACAAATCATTCACCACGGTTGTGGAATATAAATAGGCTGCCTCATACCGTGCGTGATAGTGCTTCTCTGGGTGTCTTCAAGAGAAGATGGCAATATGTACGTGTATATGTACAAGTTATTATGTGTTAAGTTTTTCAAGTGTACAATAAAGAATAAATATTTTTAAGTACAGTACTTACGTACATTAATAAAATACCTACTTTTTACTTGTATCTATTGTTATCAAAATTATATTATAAGTTCTTGACTTGACCACGACTATGTGACCCCCTCCTGGCGCCAAAGCTGGATCCGCCCTTGTCTTCCTCGCACAACTTCCTTGTGGAATCGACTATCACCTTAAATCCAAAATTGCTTTTAAAAAATACCCAAATTAGGGGCTTTTAGGTGCTAATTAGGATATTTTGTTTTAATATGTAGATATTAAACGAACCGCGAATTTGGCAAATTTGGGCTTTTTCTAAAAGCAATTTTGATTCTATTTTGATTTTCAAAAACCTGAATTTTGCATCTGCTATGTTCTGAATAACGACTTTATTTTTATTAGGGGCGCCTTGTTATTGCCTATACTTGCAGCACCTAATTAGCACCTAATTCCTTGCTATTAATATTTATGGTATATCTAATAACTCCATTGTGTTGCTAGCGAGACGTTTTGCTAGCAACGCAAATTTCAACAGTTCATTGCGGTGAAAATTTTAGACCACCTAATTTTTAAACGTGGCACCTAATTAGCACCTAAAAGCCCCTAATTAATGGTTTTTCTAAATACAAATTCCGGATTTTGCGTTGCTAGCGATACACAACTGACACAACTGACAACTAAACGCAGTAGTAAGCCAAAATTTACAAAATTTTGTTTTAATATGTAGATATTAAACGAACCGCGAAAGAAACCTGAGCCAATTCCGCCGCACGATTTGATTCCATCTGAAGCAGATTCCTTTATGAAGCCTGTCGAACCTGAAATTCTAAATTTACTGCACGGAAGTACTGAAAAAGGCGCTACCGAGAGGTACCTTAAAGAGAGAAACAAGAAAGCTCCAGAGGATAAGTTAGTTACTTATAAAAGTATAACCCAGTTAATTCATTTTGTTTACGTAGGTACCTAAAGTAAGATGTGTAAAGATCTGCAAAATGGGGCGCGTGACATCTATGTAAAAAGTTGCATAGACCAAACAATTTTTTTTTTAAATTTACTTAATTCAGTTTTAAACCGATTTAGTTTTTATATTTTTAGTTTCAGCTTAGTATTTATAGCACTTAAAACCCTTATAAATAATTTTACATCCTACCTATTGTCATTTGTTTCATAGCTTTGTCATTTAGTATAGTTTTATCTGGCTACGGTACCCGTTCTTATATACCTACATATGTATGAATATAGAATGAGTCTAATTACTCTATGTGTAATAATAATTGCGTAAGTCTCACTGCATATTTTTAAAGATCTGCCTGGTCTAAAATTTCTGGTCTAACAGCTATAAAATTAAAGAGTGTGCCTGTGATATGAGAATTTTTGTATTTTAATGCATATGCTGTAATAATGATGTAAATCTGCTGTGACCGATTGAACGGTTTCAACGAGCTTATCATATTAATATTGTCGAACATACTACACTACATACTTGACACAGGAAGTATTCAGGGATTTGGATTAGGGCACGAGTACTGGACGTTATTTTCACTAGACCTCTATAATTCGATGGTGACATCGCCGCCGGTTTTATTATTCAACAAGGCGTTATGGCGAAGTTAAACTGAGGAATAATATAACTAATGTTCACTAATGTTCAGGACATGTATATTTAATATTATCACTTTTGGCATTTGCACTTGACCTAGACATTTAGGTATTTTCTAAAATGCACGGGACAAAATGTATTTATAAGTTTTCTCGTACTTATTACCTACGTTGGTAACCGCAGATCTTTTCTCTTAACCTCGCCACTCGCCATTTACCATGCTTGTCAATCGGCGGGGTGCTCAACAGTCAGGTAAGGTTGGATTGGAATTTAAACAAAGATTTCTCATATACTCACATCCTCTAATTTACGATTTTACACTTTACTAAGCTTTTTTAAGAGCCGTGGTAGCTCAGGGGTTAAGCACTCGCTGAAATTTTCGGAGTACACGAGCAACTCGGGTTCGATAATCGACCACTTGCTATTCGACGACGGTGAAGGAAAACATCGTGAGAAAAAAGACATGTGAAGTTCGCCAACACACATTGGAGCGGCGCGGCGGACATGTCCTTGCCCTAAAACCCTCTCAGAAATGAGAAGAGGCCTGTGCCCAGCTGTGGGACGTATATAGGCTGTAACTTTTAGCTTTTTTTAAACAGATTCTACTATCGCGCCACCACCAATTGGGAGTACGGTTGGCAACAGAAGCAGTCCCGAATGCCGGCAAGAGATACGAACCTAGGACGCTGCGCTGTGCTTCGAGACACGCTCTACCGCAAAAACAACCTTGCGCCCGACCCTCCGCACTACGCGGAGCCAGCGGGTGGAGAGTTCTCCATATGTAGCGTATATTCTTGCAACTTCAACTAAAAACGGAAACATAACTACCGTCGTCTGTTCATAATAACATTAAACTGTTTTCTACCTTATATCACCTATAAAACATATTGTTATTTAATACAATAGATAGAAGTTTTTAAAACTTTAAGCCACACCATCGCTTGTGCAACGAAACCAAAAACAAATGTTACATTTAGTAAAAAAGACTAAACAATCTCTAGGTATATTACGACTGTGAATCGTAACCAACGTCGTCCTTTCTTATTAAAAAATTGTTAACTAATGTCAATGTTTTCAATCTCGTACCAACTATTAAATAATATATTATATTTAATATAATCTATCGATAAAAGTTAGTGATCATCAGCCGCGTATACGAGACGACCATTAGGCCAACGAATCAGTCGTTGGTATATTTATGTCATTTAGTAGATAATATGCTAATCAATAAATATCTGATAGCTTTTAAACCTTTATATTTAAACTGTTATATTGAAATGTCTCTGTATAAAAAAGGTATACCCTCAGACACCTCAGAGTAATCACTAGCGTAGAGTCCTCAAATAAGAACAAAATTCTTGTAGCTGAACTCTTATGACGTTTAACATGTTACAAAATAAGATAGCTATATTATTCTCACCTTCTTTCTTTTACAAGAATGTTGCCGTTTTTCCATTCCATAGACACCTCTATTGATATGCCGTTAGAAACAAAAACGTTGTCGATAAATTAATTTAGTCTATGACTTAGTACAATTAGGGATTTTTATTAGTCCAGTTGGTAAAACTTATTTAAATATCAATAAAAGTTTATGCAAACTTCATCTTACAACAAAAACGTAGTCGAAACGTAGTCCACCTGATGTTAAGTAGTTGCTGTGGCCCATAGACATCTACATCTATCCTCAACTACGAGTCAAAATGCAGAAGCGTTGTCACCCGTGAGTACTAAGATGGAGTACCTCATTTCCAGTAAAAGGGTTCTTCGGTTCTCTACTCTCACCATACGAAACACAGCAGCCTTAAGCTGCTATTTTACGCTGGTATTCTGTGAGAGCGTGGTCCTTGCCCGATCGAACCGACCCACTCGTGTTACAACTATACTACTACCGTACTAACATAGCTGCAGCATGCAGCAGCATGCAACCTACTTAAATACAGCTGGTATATTTCCGCCAAATCATCCTTAGAATTATTATGGGTTTCACAGGGTATAATAACTGTGTTTGTTTAATTGACACTGAGTTTGCTTCACGAAACACACAGAGGGCACTGCTACGATAGTACAATAACAGCGGCACGATCGCGGCCTGCCTTCTCTTTTGTCGCTAGATCACAACTATCAATAAATCGATTACAAACGTATTATCGTTTTCCTCTCTGCTCCCTGAACATATTATCCATCATTCATTCGTTAATTACAGCCTATCAAAAGTCCACTGCTGAACATAGAGGGAATATTTGCCATAGTTCCCTCTGTTAGCAAGTGGGTTGGCAACCGCAATTTTTGTTTTGGTTGTTATCAGGAAGATACTGTTGCCTATCTCCTGTTTTATTTTCCCCTGTTGTCTGTTACGATAATCACGGGATGGTGTGAAATCTTAGAACTTCTAAATGATAATATATATTATTTGGTAGGAGGTAGTAATTTATTTTAGGCCGCCGCTACACGGCACTATTAAGATGCTGCCTTAACTTCATTATCTATACATATAATAAAACTGTAAATAGCAGATGTCTGTACATTTTATATTTTTGTAATAAAAGTGATTGAGGGGTACTAAAAATAAGTAATTAAATACATTTCTACCATTTTTAGAATTTTTGTCTGTCTGTCTGTCTGTCTGTTTGTTTGTTAACGTATCACGTATAAAGTACTAATTTATATCATAAGAATTGTTAAGGAAATTATAAAGTGTATATTCGGGTTACATTTAGTCTTTATTTCATTAAAATCAGTTCATTCAATCAAAAGTTATGATAAATATTCTGAAGTATGGGTAGGGAAGTATAGGTACGAATTTGCTCAACGGTGGCTTTGTTTGAGTCATCAAGTGCATTTTAAACTAATATCATATCATAAATCATAGTTAAATTATGTAAAATAATGATATAATTATGTATATCTAAAACGCAGTAAACAAAAGTATTAAAGAACGTATTAAATATATTATACAAAAATATATTAGCCTTATTAACTAAATCTGAAGCACAATAGTTAACCCATTTCTTCGATAGATGGTGGTGTTGTGAAAATGTAATGTAATTGCAATGTGGTTTCTTCCTGTAGATGAGTTTTTATATTTACTGCTAATCTTTATTATATTACTCGCTGCCCTACTGCGTGTTGACAAACTCAATTTATTCTTTACCGCCGAGTACTCTATGTGGTAAATAAAATTTTAAAAGAGCTATTAACAATTGCGTTGGTTTTGGCGAGAGTCAAACTTTATTTTTTGCTTACTGTGCAGGCACTGATTTATAAGTTCTCTTACGTTTTATATAATGTATCAATCGCGTCAATTAATCTCTTTTATTTTTAGAATTGATGTTAGCAGCGCCATCTCTCTTTAAATATATACATATAATAAAAATAATGATAACATGTTGTGTCTCTTTCTGTACATTGTATATATATTTTGGTGGCTAAAATCATTATGGGGAACTGAAAATAATTAAATAAGAACATTTTATAATTTTTAGAATTGTCTGTCTGTCTATTTGTCTGTTATTATATGAACGCATCACGTCTAAAGTAAACATCTTTTATTTTCAAAGAAATCGTTAAGAATATCATAAAGCGTATCTTCGAGTTACATTTAATCTTTGTTTTATTAAAATTGGTTAATTCTATCGAAAGTAATTATTATTATTTTGAAATGTGGGTTCGGATTTGTTCAATGGCGCCATAAAATCTCAGAAATAGTAATATAAAGATTTGTGTGTAAAAAAAACGTTCCATAATAATTAATATATTTATACTTAAAACACAAAAAGAGATTTAAAAAGGATGTTTTCTCACACAAAGGACGTAATGGATGGAGTTGTACAAATTACAAACTTTTCTGAATTGCTGTGTTGAGATTTTTCGCCGATGAATCGTATTGAGACTTATTGAAGAAATTTGTATCCATCGAAGCCATACAACGGAACCCGACCAAAAATAAAAATTTTGCAACGAAATGTCGTGATATTGTATTTATAATATACGCAAAACCAGTACTGTTATTTTAGCCCTTTGGGAACTAGATTTAGCGCTTTTTTGGAATGTATAGCGCGCATTTCGAAATTTTAGCACCTAGCGCTTAATCCAACGCTTTTTGGTGTATTTAGCACACATTTCAAAATTGTAGCGACTAGCGGTCTATCTAACTCTTTTATAGCAGCACTGTTAGTCCACATTACCGATAATAATAATAATGACCTTTATTATTTTTCCCACAAATAGTACATTGCAGTTTATCTTTTTCAAACATATTTTTTCCACAAAACAAAGAGCGTGGGAGACGAGTCCAAACTAGGATACCCTGTGCTATGGATCTCCTGGCTTCCCCTTTAGGATGATCAACTTGATTTTTTTACCGACGACTATTAGCGGGGAAATCCCCTTTATTAAAGTTTTCGTTCATGGTTTTGGCAACGCATTTATTTTGCTTTATTCAGTTTCAGTCAGTTGCTTAGAGCACAGCTAAGTTAAAAGTTACTTAGAAGTTATAACACAAAGAAACTGTGTAGCAACCGCAATCAGATGCTGACATCTGAAACTAAGTTGCGAAATACATTGCACTTTAAAACAATTAATGACATTTTTATTGTTCGTACAGTACTAACTACTGTTGACAGCAATTGCCATAATTATAAGTCGATGTTCTGCGAAGTATTGATACATCAAAAAAATATTGCCAGAAAAAGTTGTTTTCTTTATTATGATTATATAAAAAAACACAAACTTTGTTTGTAGTTAATTTAGCGCGAAATCTAGGGCTTTTTTAAAGCGCTGTTTTCATGAAATCTAGCGCTTTTTGTGTTGTCCTAGAGCTGAATGAGTTTTTTTTTTATCTGGCAGCACTGCCCAAAACCCCTCTATTAAGAAGTAACTTTCCTTTCAGTTTTAAGCGCGTTCAGTTCCCAGTTATAGTGAGCGTGTGTTATGCGATGACCGTAAATAAAGCGCAAGGTCAAACTTTACGCGTTGTAGGAGTGTACCTCAGTACTGACTGTTTTGCACATGGCCAACTCTATGTTGCTTTTTCCCGCGTTAGTAGCACCCGTAACCTTTTTGTGTACACCCCGGCTAAGCCTACTTCTAACGTCGTTTACACAGAAGCTCTATCATAAACAACTTAGAACTTTGATGATAATGATTTATTTAGTTACCACTTATTGATACAGTAATGAAATAAATCGTTTAATATTCTCTTACCTAAACGACAAATTCTTTATGTAAAACCTGTATACGCGAGCTACGCCGCGGGCACAGCTAGTTTCGAAATATTTTTATTCAAGCAGAAAAAGCTTTGTTGAAAATAGTCGATGGTTTTCTGCTATACGAGTACAAGTGGGAAAGCTATATAAATTGAAATTTATTGCCGCCTGTATGAAAGATCAACGTTTGAGAACGGCTGGACCTATTTTGATGAACACACACTCACAATTGGACCAGGTAAGTAGCGCTGTTGTCGAGATCTAGAAAACAGTAGTGCAAAGCCGGGGCAGATCGTTAGTAAGCATATAAAATTGGGATTAGAAATGGGACTCAACCCGCTTATGTACCGTGTGTCTGTCAAGACTTAGTATTCATACCTCCCTAACAATTAGTTTTTAAAATTTACGTAACGAAAATTTGCAATGTAATATAATAATCACCACTTGATTTAGAAAGCAATTTACTTGATCGTTCGACTAATAATAAGTCTAGTCCTATTTTCTTTATATTTTAGACATAAAATAATAAAAATAAATAACTAAACAAAAACGAGTATATCGATGTAGATAGTTGCTACCATTGTAAACGAAATCACTACAGATTAAAGACGTCATTTCCTGAACATCCGCATCCACTTTCTGAACATCCGCACAATATTCCTCACCTTTTCTACAACATGCCCAAACTTAACATTTGTCTCCACGTCAACTGTTAGAGTTGGGGCTTGCTCTATTTGAAATCCATCAGTCTCAGTATCATCTTCAGTGCCAATGCAAAGAGTGTTCAGATCATTTTCGTTTTCAACATGTTTTTCTTGAGCCTCATTTACTTGTTTTTTTACGTAAAACGTATCCACGACGGCCAATTGCAGCCCATGAGCTAAGCATAACTGATGTATGCAGTTTAAATTTCTTCCTAGTTTTGTCATAACAGAAGCTCCATCGGATATAATGGCGATCACATCAGTTTCAAAATCTAATTTGAATTCGTGTAGCCTTTCTCGCAGGTATTGTTCACACTTGATAGCGGTAACAGAGCCATACGTCCTACATAAACCAAGATTTCTCGTTGTGTGATGGTTACCTTTGAAAAATGCATAGTGAAGATTCACGTTCATATATCGCCTATTCCTTGAAGATGTCATCATGTCATCATCATCATCATCATCATTCATCAGTCATGAATTCATCTATTGAAACCGAAAATTTGTGTCCTTCATCCTTTAGTTCCGGTATTTCCTTTAAAGGTTTTAATTAGTCTTATAATAAAACTTTACAGTCACATCTTTTATAATGTTTGCGGTCGTAGGTAATTTATAACCAGCTTTTTTAAAAAGATGCTTCAGGTCTTCAGATTCTGTAAATGCCCTGTAAGGCATTCTGTCAAGTGCTATCATTCTTGATATCATAACATCCAACGATCTGTTCGATCGTGCAAAGTAGTCGGTCATTCTGCAATTTTTCGCTGAAACTGACTCCAGTAAAAAGTTATATCTTTTGGAAGTTCCAGCAGTTTGCCTAGCTACTTCTGAAGCAAGCCTTTCGCTTTCAAGTGAAATGTTATGTAATCTTAAATGGCTGCGTAGCCCCGTTGTAGTACCACCCGCACATTTGATAACTTTTTCACATGTCTTACATTTTGCAGAATCACCCGTATCGGCCTGACACCAAACCGACGTTGGGTCGGAACTTTTTTTGTATACGGAAATGTAGTTTACTTTATTTGACATTACTGATTAATTCATTCGTTGAAGTACCTAAAACAAAAGATATTTTAATAGTCACACTACTAATAACATTATGATTCGAAATTCGAAGCTACGGGCAAAACTGGTAGACTGAGACACACTGAAGACGTGATCTCGATTAAAATACGGTAATTTGGTAATACTGCGAATGATATTTTAGTACTGTGTAAGTAAATAAACTTTTAAATACACTACATACGTAACATTTAAATAACGTGTGTCTACCTAATTAAGTTAAAATATTATATAAAATTACCTACTTATACGACTGGCCACTGCCCGTGTGGGCCATGAAGTAAAGAAGATGTATGAATATGAAGTGGGTTTATGAAGCTAACGTAAAACAAGTACAAAATATAAAACATCTACTTAAAATCTATCTATCTCGATTATTCTACTTACCTATTGTAAATCCTTTAGCGTCGTGTCGACAAAACAGCGAAGCACGCTCAATAGAACACAACGCAACCAATCAAACATCACACCACAATGGATCCCACTGAATAAACTTCACAGCTTCACACGCCGCGCTGAATGGCGCGCTATGATGGCGCGTTTGGGCGCGTTCTGACCTGCACGCGACTCGTGTCGGTCATGAAATGAGTGAGCGTAAAGAGCTATAGATACGGGCGGGTGGAATGCAACCGCACGTAGCTCAAATTTCAAAAAATGACTCGCGGTAGTGTGGAAATGATTGCATAAAATCTTTATGAATTTATCGGATTTTTTTAAGAAAATTTTCGATAATTATCGGCGAAAAAAAATTTACTGATTACCGATAAATTATCGGTTGGCATGCACTACAACCAACGCATCCAATCAACCTTCACCATTTTTTCTAATTATAGAATCCGGAGGGAATCTGTTTTACACACGGCAAAATAAAATTACATTTATAGAACGCAAACCGAGGATTTATTTTCTTCCTTTTTTATTATTCAAGATAAATATTGTGGGGGCGCTGTCGTCGCGCCACAAGCGAAACACATCGAAGCCTAAATCGCACTAACAAAGTTCCGAAGTTAAAGCAGCATATATAAAATAACTCCGAACTACCAATCGGAGCGTTGGCCGCTCCCCGGGCAGAACACCTTGCCCGGCGGGAGATCTCCCCTTTTCCTTCCACCGGCCACACTGCTGACCCCGACGTGATATGAACATGCAACCAACAAACTTCGGAAACTACAATTTCAAACCTTCGTCATCGTCCTCAAGTACCCCATTCATTCGCTTCCGAGCAGATATTGTCTGCAGTCTTCACATTCTGCAAGCCATCTAGCTTTACAAAGGTTCATCGTAGCACTGGAATAATAATGCTTCCTGTTCCTTCAAGCTACTCTCTGCGCTACAGTGTTCGGCACGGCTCTGAGCCTTACTGCTCGCGAGGGGCGTAGCTACCGCCGTATCAGCCGTATCAATGATACGGGGCCCCCGGGCTACAGGGGCCCCGAACGTCTATAAGCAAAAATTCTACAGACTTCTATGAACAGGAAAGGCTATCAGATTGTGACTATAGTCAATAGAGACAGAAAATTTATAAGTTCAAGAAAAAAGGCAAGAAAAGTGTATATTTGATTTGAATTGTTTGGCTTGTTTAGTTTCTAGGAGTATTAATTATTGTAAGTAATACCTTACAGTTCTGTACACCAACCTCTGCACATCTCGATGAGGAGGTGGAGGAAATATATGTGGATATCTCTAAAGCCATGCATTTCTCTAAATCCACTATACGGTGTTAATGCAAAACAAGTCACGAGAAAAAGGTAAGCTGAAGGTAAAATTTGGAATAGGGCAACGGAAACCAAGAGGCCAGCAGCTGGCCGATTTCATGGAGAAAAAGGGACTCTTTATGATGGCCTCTTTCTTCCAGAAGCGGCTCCACAGGAAGTGGACCTGGTCGAGCCCCGATGGTTCGACAAAAAATGAGATTGACTTCATTATGACGGCAACTGTTCAGTGATATCTCAGTGATCGCGAGGGTAAAAACTGGTAGCGATCACCGAATGGTTAGAGACACACTGAACCTAAACGTTAAGTTGAAGAGGTCACGTCTAAGTCAACGCTGCGTCCCCCTCGTGCTCTAATCCATTCTCGAAAACTTTCAGCTCTAGTTACAAAACCGTTTTCAGCGCCTAGAATATTGCAATGCAGTGGACGATATGAATAACAAGCTCGTGGAAACTGTCCATGCGTTCGGAGCTAAGTTCTGCAAGACCCGTCGCTGAAGAACACAAAAACTCCGATCTCACTCTTAATCTTATGGCTGTTAGACGGAAAATGAAACTGCAGTCTTCAACAGATTTGACATCATACAATGATTTGAAAAGACAGATCTCCAAATGCATGTGGTGGGACTCAGTCTGAGCAAGATTACAATGCCTCTCCAGCATTTTAAAAACGGCAAGGCCCCAGGCGAGGAGGGAATTACAGCGGGGCTTCTGAAAGTGGGTGGAAAACCGTTACTTGAAGTCCTTCAGAAGCTCTTTAATTCCGTTTTTCACAGTGGGACTACTCCGGAGGCGTGGGGCAGAAGTGCGGTGATCTTGTTCTTCAAGAAAGGCGACATCGCTTTTTTAAAGAACTACAGACCGATTTCCCTGTTGAGCCGCGACTATATGCTGTTTTCGAGAGTCATCACGAAGCGTCTCGCACACAGACTACGATTTCTAGCCTCCCGAACAACCCTGTTACCGAAAAGGCTTTTGTGTCATAAAACACATACATACCCGTCGACAAATTGAACAGAAGACTGAAGAGTACAATCTGCCACTTTGCCTTGTGTATACGGACTATGAGAATACCTTTGATTCCATCGAAATTTGGGCGGTTCTACAGTCCCTTCAGCGGTGCCAAGTTGACTGTCGGTAAATCGAAGTGCTGAAGTGTTTGTATAGTAGGGCTACGATGGCTATCCGAGTACAGAACCAGAGTACGAAACCTATCCAACTGCAGAGAGGTGTAAGACAAGGTGACGTTATACCCCCGAAACTCTTCATCGCTACATTGCAAGACGTTTTCAAGCTAGTGGACTGAAAATGATAGGTAGGTATTACCTAACATCAAAGGTGAGTACATCATTCATCTTCGATTTGCCGACGACATAGTCCTTATGGCAGAATCACTGAAGGACCTAAGCACTATGCTCAATAGCCTCAATAAAACACTATGAAGATATCTAACCGCAGTAGAATCAGAGTGACCGACATCGGCCAGCCATATAGCTCAAAGAACCGACAACCGATGGGAAAAAAAGGTACCGGTAGGCGAAGTGTAGGAAGTCGATGAATGCAGGCGTGAGCCACCGACCGTGTTTTGTGGCATTCCTTGGGAAGAATCTATGTTCAGTAGTGGACTTGTGAAGGGTTGTAATGATGACGATGATGATGAGTAGCTTATACTTAATATTTTTTTCCACCCCTTTTCCTTCCACCGGCCACAAATATCAACATTAATTTTGATATAGTTGAGTTAATCCCTAGCGTGTATATGAAATATTTTGTATAAAAATGTATTTAGGTACCAAATTCATGTAAATTATCAACAATGTGACTTTTTTCTTTGCAAAATATCAAAATTAACAAAATAATTGAAAACATTCTATATTTTAAACAGTAAGTAAATACATACAACATAAATGTTAACCAAAAATAAACTCGTCATAACATTGACATCTTGAGAATTTACCTGTGAAATACGAGTATGAAATTATCAGGATTATTACTACAAGTGGGATGAGGGAAGTAAAGACTGTGTAAGAACCTCTAAAGGAGGCGGAGTTATAGCCGAAATAAGATTTTTTTATATTTTGGTTTTTGGCCATTTTGATCCTCTAGGAGTGTAATGAAAACTTTTTGCCCCTATTCAACCATGACCCCCATGACATCCTCTACATGATAGGCTATTCAAACTGACTAGACCTAAAGTTCGAGTCACCCACCAACTCATTTCTAGTCTTTACTTCCAACTAGCTGTTCCCCGCGACTTCGCCCGCGCGTAATTTATTAAGATTGGATTTCATGGATTTAAATGTTTTGCGCGGAACCCTAATTATTTTTCCAAAATAAAAGTAGCCTAAGTTACTTCTTATAACATCAGCTATCTGCCAGTGAAAGTCCGGTTAAAATCGGTGTAGCCGTTTCGGAGATTAGCCGGAACAAACAGACAGACAGACAGAAAGAAAGACAGACAAAAATTTTAAAAATCGTGTTATTGTAAAACGTACCTTATATACTTTCATATGCATATAGTAAAAAGCTATTTTCTCGACATTACAAACAGACACTCCAATTTTATTTATATGTATAGATGTATAGATTATTAACACCACAGTCACTCACAGAACAAGTAACCATTTTGGAAAAATTAACTAGCTAAAAATAACCACTACTAAACTTTAAAAAATTACAAAATATCTAGGAGTTTATTTC